TATATATATATATGTGTGTGTGTTCGTGCGTTTTGATGATTATGTATACATATATCCTGCAGACATGCGTCGCAGTCTCGGCACGAATTTCCTGTGTCAGGTGCCATTACCGCACTGGAGATGAAAGGGGCCTGCCTTGAAAGGACCTTCAGGGGTTTTAGGGGTTATTGGGGTTATAGGGCTTATAGGGGTTATAGGGGTTTAGGGTTGAGGGTATATAGGGGTTCAGGGGTTCAGCTCTTGCGGGTGTTTCTGTGTGTTCAGGTTTTGGAGCTTGAGGTTCTGGCGGTTTGGGGCACTGTTTCGTTGCATAGGGTTGACGGTTGGAATCTGGGATTAGGGCTAGGGTGTTGGTAGGGTGTTGTCTTGTTAAACTACTTTATTATATTTGTTTATCTGCGCCTACCTATCCACTATCTACCTATCTGCCTGACTATCTACCTATCTTTCTTTCTACCTATCGACCTATCCGTCTACCTGTCTACCTATCTACCTATCTGTCTCCCTGTCTGTCTGTCTGTCTGGCTGCCTGCCTGCCTGCCTGGCTGGCTGGCTGGCTGGCTGACCTACTTACCTACCTACCTACCTGATCTATCTAGATATCTGAGTATCTATTGCCTTATCTAACAATCCATCCATGTATCTTCTGACCTAGCTAGCTATCTACCAAACTATCTAGCTGCCTCGCTGCCTCATTGCCTAGCTACCCAGCTAGCTACCTGCCTGCCTGCCTGCCCTGCCCACCTAGCTCCCTGCCTACCCACCTAGGTGCCTCCATCCCTACCTGTCTCTTCTCTCTCTCTCTCTCTCTCTCTCTCTCTCCCTCTCTCTATCTCTCTCTGTTTTTCTATCTTGCCAGCTAGCTAGCCAGCTATCTTACTGTTCTCATTTCTCAATGTCTTTCTTTCTGTCGCTCTATCAGTCTATCTATCTATCTATCTATCTATCGATCTATCTATCTGTTTTTGTCTGTATCTACCTACTGACCTACCTACGTGCCTATCTGTCTGCCTATTGATAAACCTACCTGTCTGTGTGTCTGTATGTTTATGTAGGCGTATGTGTTTATGGGCCAGAGGTTTATTCTTCCAAAAGGGGTGGCTTGACCCAGAGGCTGTTGACTGATAGGGAGAGAAAGGGAGAAGAAACAAAGAAACAGATAACAATAACAGACACAACGAAAGAAAGGCGCACCAGGAACCACAGACAGCCAGAAGGAAAGAAGAACACTCTACGAGCGACAACTATCTACTAGCTCGAGGCAAACGGAGCCTAGCAAATTGATTGCAATTCCCCCCATAGTTTGACGCAAAATAAAGTGTTATGAAGGGTAATTCCTCAGTAGCTTGATGCCAAACAAGACCTGTACATCTGAAGTCACCAATAACTTGCTGCCATACAGCACTTTGACGCACAACGAAACCTTGCAATCTGCAATTCCCCTGCAAGGGTAACCCCTGTAAAGGCCAACTCCCCTATGGCTTGAGGCCCCGCAGGACCTCGGAAATCGCAAATCAGCCATAGCTTGCTGCCAAACACCACCTCACGAATCAGAATTCCCCAATAGCTTGACGCAAAACGAAGTCTGCGAATTGCAATTCCTCAATAGCTTGACGCGAATGCAATCCCTGTACCGTCCAATTCTCCTATAGCTTGGGGCCAACCGGGATTTCGGACATCGCAAGTCACCAATAGCTTGCTGTTTGCCTTACAAATCAGAATTCCCAAAAAGCTTGACGCAAAACGAAGCCTTGCAAATTGCAACTCCACACTAGCTTGACGCAAAGAGAGCCCCTGTAAAGCCCAATTCCCCCAATAGCTTGAAGCCAAACAAAGTGTGGGAAATTGCAATTCCCCAATAGTTTGAGGCCAGACGAGCCGTCGGTCAAATCTTCAGAAAGAGGAACCTCTCCGCCATGTGTTTCTGTATTTGTAATTTGTGTTTCGCTGGTCCATTGCTATACACGTATACACACCTGCTAGCATTGCTGCCTCCTATTCCTCTTCATACTTATTGCCGTGCCACGCGCCACACAGAGACTATCGCAACTTCAGCTGGGCCTTCACACAACCTGCAAACATCAGGAGCTCATGGCTTAAGCAAGGCTTCTCCAAGGGATTCGGGAGGCAAACCTCTAAAGCGTTGTCAAACCGCCAAAGCCGTACGACTTCCAGAAGGAGCTTTCCCTTTGGCATGTGGTCCCTTTAGGAACCGCCCCCAATAATTTGAACCCCCAAACCCTAAACCCTAAACCCTAAACCCTACCGGAAGGAACTGGCCTTTTGACCTGGACAAAGTGAATCACAAGCCAGAGCAGGCGTGCTTTGATCAGGCATTGCGATACAAGATCTCAAGCTCTCGGAAGGTCCCAAGTCTTGCATTGTATCGTATATAATTAGTATAGTAGGGTATAGTCTAGTCTCGTATGGTATAGCAAAGTAAGCTGTAAAGTAAAGTATATTATAGCATTAGGGCCTGGAGAGTTGTTCTTTTGATCCCCTTTCAGCGACAGACTAGACCGTTCTCGAATCAACTAACTAAGGTCCCCGTGGACCTGGATATGATGCGCGAGGCTCTTTCTTCCGGGCATCCCATTGTCTTTGGGCTGAAGCTCACGTCGCAATTCTTCCGTCCTCTGCAGGGAGGGTTCATCCCAACACCGGACCCTAGCGACCCGCAGTCTGCGGAGCATGGTCTGCATGCCATGCTCTTGGTAGGCTACAACGATCGCCAGCAGGTGGCCCCGGTTTCGGGTTTAGGGTTTAGGGGAGTTTTTTTGACATTCCGTGCTGTTAGTTTGTGATGGACAAAGAAGACCAACCAAATCAATGCCCCGATTTCGAACATGTCGAGGTGTTCATTGTGCGAAACAGCTGGGGAACATCTTGGGGTGATCGTGGATATGCATATGTGCCATATGACTACATTGCCAACCGGGAGTTCAATTTTTTAGACCAGACACCCGTCTTGCATTCAGGAAAGCCGTGATTTCTGGGTGGGCGAAGGTGGTCCAGCCTATGGAGCCTTAATAACCCGAATAGGGTTCTGGGGGTCGGATTGCCTTTGTCCGAACTTTCAGGGGATGCTTCTGCTAACGATCCCAGCCCATACAAGACTGCACGTCTGTCTTCCTCGGCTGCAGATCCGAAAACCTTTGAATCCAAAACACCACTATGCGTGCTTTTGGTCCCAAGTCGGACGGCAGCCGATAATCTCAGGAGCCGACCAGCCAATCAGCCGATAAGCCGCTGCTAGTATCGGTGGAGACTCGAGCCTAAACCCGAAACCCTAAACCGTGCAGGAGTAGTAGTTAAGTAGTAAGTAGTGTGGCTTAGCGTGGCTTTTCGGCTCGTAGGCTGCAGCGAATTTAGAAATCAAGCTTACGAGCACAGTGCAAAACCTCTTCAAGCCCTATATAGCACCAGAACCTAAGCCCGTTCCTCCTGGGTCTTGGATTCTTGGATCATTAGTCATAATCTCCCCTGAAATTCCCCCCAAATGCCAGTCTAATCCTCAATGCGCCATGCTCAACCCTAAACCCTTAGCCGTAAACCC